ACACTGTTCAACATCTTGAACAGTGAACATGGGCCGGCAGTGTGGGCATGCAGTCAGGAAGGCCAACCACACCTTGTCATGCATCCACAGATGCATCTCAAGCAGGTCCAAGGAGGTGATCCTCCCCCTCTATGCGGCACTGGTCAGGCCGCAGCTGGAGTACGGTGTCCAGTTCTGGGTGCCGCACTTTAAGAGGGATGTGGACAGCATCGAGAGTGTCCAGAGGAGGGCCACTCACATGATCAGGGGGCATCAGGGCAGGACCTATGAGGAGAGGCTATGGGACCTGAACCTGTTCAGCCTCCACAAGAGAAGGCTGAGGGGGAATCTAGTGGCCTGTTACAAACTAGTGAGAGGGGACCAGCAGGCATTGCGGGAGTCCCTGTTCCCCCGAGCACTACCAGGAGTCACTAGAAATAACGGTCTCAAGCTGGCAGAGGGTAAATTCAGATTAGACATCAAGAGGTGCTACTTCACTGTCAAGGCGGCTAGGATCTGGAACCAACTTGCAAGAGAAGTGGTGCTGGCTCCTACCCTGGGGGTCTTTAAGATAAGGCTAGACAAACACCTTGCTGGGGTCATTTGACCCCAGTACTTTTTCCTGCCATGGCAGGGGGTCGGACTTGATGATCTGCTCAGGTCCCTTCCAACCCTACAAACTATGAAATGACTTTGGGGTGCAGCAAACTAAAACACCTCCCAGGAGTTTTAGGTTTTTTTAGTTTGCTTCCATATAGCCATGGAGGGAAGTGTCAGGCTGTATGCTGCTCAGAGGCTGTGCAGGCAGCCACAGCAGGCAGACCGGGAAGGCAAGCTGCACTGAAGGGGGGAAAAAAAAAAGTGGTAAGCCTGATCTCTTTTTTTGTTCTTCACCGGAGCCTGCCTGAACTGCGTGGAGGCTTAGTGCTTCCCCTTAGCTGCGTTGCCCCCTGGCACTGCCCGAATCAGGTGCCTGCGGGTGGGTGCTCTGGGTTGGGGGGGCACCATTACAGCGGAAGGAAGCACCAGCCATTGCCCCCCCCCAGCTCAGGGACACCTCAGGCCGCCGGCAGCTTGCTCTCCTCTCCCCGCCAGCATCTAAGGACACAGGTGTACAGGAAACAGGGGTTTACTTCTCCCTAAATTGAAGTGTTTTTTTTTTTTAAAAACACTGCTTCAATTTAGGGAGAATTAAACCCCCATCTCATCTACAAATGCCCTAACAAAGCAGTAATCATAAATGACAAGTTGTAAAGAGTTGATAGATGTTGAGTTAGGTATTGTTTTGGGGTAGTTATTACTGTTTTAAAGGCAGAATATGAAGAAAGAATTTAGGCATAATTGTATGTGTGATGGGCCCCCTCTACACCTTAGGTTTCATGCAATTAACTGATTAACTGGGCAATTAACTGAGACCAGGTGCACATGGAAAGTACTTATCAGACCATTAAAAGCTGCAGAAGGGTGGGGTGGTTGTAGTAATGTTGAGTAAACCCCGTGGAACTAAAAAAAAAGTAGTACTTGATATTGTATCAGGCATTCAGATTTCTTTGTTGGTCTATGAGCTAGTCAGTTTTTAATTTTAGAATTGTGTGCGTGCGTGCGTGCATGTTCTTGTCAGAAAAATTGCTGAATTATGGGGCTGTTAATTAGCGGTATGATAAGTTTTTTCTTGTTTGGCAGGACTCCTTGGCAGCAGAGATAGAAGGGTCAATGCGGAAAGAACTGCACCTGGATGAGCCCGACGCTCCTGACTTAGTGTACGATCAATGTGATTGGTTCCTAAATTTAGTAAAAGATTGATGCAGTTGATTTGTGCCTGAAATTAATGAATTTGCAAGGAAATGGTGTCCCTTTCCCAAGATGACATGAGAAGTGCTCTAAATCCTATTCCTAGTGGACTGTTGTCCTAACCACTGCTGTCACTAGAGTTGAACCTAAGTTTTCACCCTGGCTAGTCCCCTCATCCCCATCCCCAAGAAGAGCAGCAGCATAGAAACTGAGCTAAACTCTCCTCCCTAGAAATGGTTCCCTTAGGTCAAAAGAGGTACATTGATACAGTGTTCTGAGAGAGCTTTCCTTGCTGTGGATAAAGGACTCTGCTCTTCATTGAAGCTACCTGACACTTTTCAGGAGTGTTAAAATCCAAATTAAACAAATTGACTTATCTTGAAATTTAAGGAGCATGATGTCCAGAAACGTTGTGGGTTGAAACTGATTTGTCAGTTGTACATCTTAAGTTTACAAGTTCATTCTTATCCGCAGTCAATTAAGTAACATTGGCAAGGCTAGTGGTCTAAGACCTATTTGTCCAGCAAATGTAGCTGTGTCTATTGGTTATGATAGCCCATAAAGGCATTTGCTATAGCTTGGGCTCACTTGCATACATAAGACTTAAATTATGCCATATCTGCATTAAAGCTTTGTTCAGGTTAGGTTAGCAGATTGGGCAAGACCAAACTCTAATCATACCACTACCTGGCACAGTAATAATATTAGCTATGTAGATTTACCATAACAATGCATCACTACTGGTTTTATGGAAGACAGACTAAATAGCTGAACTGAGGAGTTTGGAAGGAAGTTTGATCACAGAGCTTTGGGGAGCCCCTAGTAGAGTACTGTTTTCTTCAAAAGTAACTTAAATGGTGGTAATAGTGCTGACTTCACCATGTGATGAGGATTCTTGGAAGATGCTATTTGAGGCAGGTTTGTTTTATAAGAAAAGGCTAGTTAAAACACCTCCCTTATCTTTCTTTTGAAGCACATGAACAAAAACAGTTACAAAATCAGGATAACTGGTGGTGGCAAAAGGGCGGGCGGAAAGAGGGGAGACCTTTACAAATAAGGCAGAACTGAAACTTAGCCATTTTGACAGCATGCCTTTAATGCCCTGCTGCATGCTCTGCCTGAATATAAAATAACTAGATTGGAAAAAACATTGTGGTTTCCAAAGGCCAAAATGTAGGGTTTCTGTACGTGGGGATACTCAAAAGGGTAAATCCAGATTAACGTTTAGATTAAACTAAATGTGTGTACACTCTTATTTATGAAAAGAGAGTTCATTTAATTTTTAACTTGTACCATTTTGCAGTGAATAAACTTCTAAAAGTGGCAAGTCCATTATCTCAATCTGAGTGTGCACACAGGGGTTTGGTGTGGTCTAACTAATCCGCTTTAAAAGTTACCTTTTTTTTTTTTTTATTTGAAACAAAATTTCCCGAGTGTCCTTGTGTGCCAGAATTGTACTATGTTTTGGAATGATGAGGGGGTTCCATTAACAACTGAATATTATTTTAACATGTCATGTTTTCGACGGCCAATTCTTGCAAATATCAGATCCAAAATACAATAAGCTTTTAACATGCTGTCAAAACTGTATACACTGGGTAACTGATAATTGGGTAGTAATTAATTATTTGCTTCTGTATTAAGGCTAAAACATCGTTTTGTGGCATGGTTACTAACTGTGTATGTTTATCAGTCATCAGAAGCGAGTCTTTGAGACTGTGAAAAATATAAACCAGGTTGTCAAGCAGAGATCCATGACTCCATCTCCAATGAATATCCCAGGCTCCAATCAGTCTTCTGCTATGAACTCAGTCATTTCTAGCTGCATCAGCACTCCACGTTCCAGCTTTTATGGAGGAGACATCTCCAACATTGTGATAGACAACAAAACCAATAGCATCATTCTAGAAACGGAGCCTTCTGACAATGGGTCAGTACTAGCCAGGCTGATTTATTGTTTTCTAATAAATAAGAAGCAAGCAAAGCAGTTTCACATTTCTCCTCTCTCAATTTATCTCTATCATACAGGTTGATACAGTGGCCTACATTTTAAAGAATGACTAGCTCATCTTTTTTCCTCTTACATTTAGAAATGAAGATAAAACTAAGAAGCCTGGAACCCCAGGAACCCCAGGCTCTAGTGACCTGGAGACTGCCCTACGAAGACTGTCCCTTCGGCGAGAGAATTACCTCTCAGAGAGGAAGTTCTTTGAAGAAGAGCAGGAAAGGAAGTTGCGGGAACTGGCGGAGAAGGGTGAACTCCACAGTGGTTCCATTACTCCAACGGAAAGTATCATGTCACTGGGAATGCACTCCAGGTTTTCAGAATTCACTGGCTATTCAGGAATGTCCATCAGCAGTCGCTCCTATCTTCCAGAGAAGCTTCAGATTGTGAAGCCCCTAGAAGGTGATAATAAAGGGCCTCGGCCTTTATCTGTTCTTCTAAGTGACTCTCTGTGGTCTCTTATCCATCACCACAAAGCAGGCAACCTCTGTAATACATACTCCTTTTACTTTAGAGATAGCAATCCACGTTGTTGGTTTGAAATCTTTTAACACAAAAAAAATGTTTCTGTAAGCCTAAGAGGGCATTGCATAAAAATGAAGAAACCACACCATAGAGGGTAGAATATGCTATAGATCAAAGTATTTCAATGAAACAGTTCTGTATCCAAAATGAACCCTGCTACTAACTTTTCACACCTGGGAAAGAAAGTTATGAAAAGATCTAAATTTATCAGAGCAGCACTAGGAATTAAAATAAATTATTGCATCAGGATCCAATCCTGCAAACAGTTTGCACATGAATGATCCTATTGGTTATGACAGAACTACTTAGAGTTAAATATGTGTTAGCAAGATTACAGAAAGGTTTACGAACAAACTAATTTCATTAGTTAGTTTTTAGCATTTCCTTTCTTATAAATAAATAGAAATCATTTGAAGTGCATTTCTCACACGTATTTCAGAGGAGAGAGAATTGTTTGTGGGGGTTTTTTTTGACTTGGAAGAATGTGGAAAAACTGCTTCTGTCTGTTCGTGTGGCTAGCCATAGCACTGATGGTTATCATTTCTTGTTTTTGTGATTATTTTCAAATAGTAACCACATGAAGTTCTTGTATTGCTTTAGGAAAGGGACAGTTCAATTATATTTAACATTTATTGGTTGCTGACATTGTAATAGGTTTGTCATCCAACTATTTCTTCAGGATTTTTTTTTTCCCTTCAATAAATTCTTTCAGTTTTCCTGATTTATCTACCTGTCTGTCTTTTTTTTTTTTCTTTCTATTTTTAACTTTTTCTCAGTTTTGTTTCGTGTCCTATTGACCCACTTTTTATTTTGAAACATGTTATTTCCTGGTACATATTCACTGTTCAGTTGCCACATCTTAGCATCTGTTCACTGTTGA